TATAGTAGCATTATCCACAATAGCCAAAGTATAGAAAGAGCCTAACTGTCCATCAACTGATGAATGGATAAAGAAGATATGGTATATATATGTGTATACATACGTGTGTGTGTGTGTGTGTGTGTGTGTGTGTGTGTATAGGAATATTATTCAGCCATTAAGAAGAATGAAGTCTTCTTCTTCACAGACAGAGCTACAGAAAATTGTGCCAAGGGAAGTAAGGCAGAGAAAGACAAGTATCATATGAGTTCAGTCATATGTAGAATTTAAGAAACAGAACAAATGAGCAAAGGAAAAAGAGAGAGAGAGAGGCAAACCAAGAAACAGACTCTGAAGTATAGAGAACACAGAAGGGAGGTGGATGGGGAATGGGTGAAATAGGTGATGGGGATTAAGGAGTGCACTTGTCCTGATGAGCACTGGGTGTTGTATGAAAGTGATGAATCGCTACACTGTACACCTGAAACTAATACACTGTATGTAAACTAACTGTAATTTTTTTTTTAAGATTCCATTTATTTATTCATGAGAGACACATACGCAGAGAGAGAGAGAGAGAGAAGCAGAGACACAGGCAGAGGGAGAAGCAGGCTCCATGCAGAGAGCCCAATGTGGGACTCGATCCCGGGTCTCCAGGATCACACCCTGGCTGAAGGTGGCACTAAACCACCGAGCCATCCGGGCTGCCCTAAATGGAATTTAAATAAAAACTTAGGTAAGTCTGGCTAGCTCAGTTGGTAGAGCATGTGACTCTTGATCTCTGGATTGTGAGTTCGAGCCCCATGTGTGGCATGGAGTTTACTTAAAATTTTTTAAATGTTTAATAAGAAAACAAAAACTTTCAAAAATAAATTTTAAAAAGGATATAAAAATAAAAATTATTAAAATTAAATAAAATATTAGAAATACTAAAAAAATATGCTAAAAATACTAAAAAAAATAAAAAACTAATAAAACACTTCTAAGCCCTTAAATGTTACTTTTATTCTGCTATTCCTTTGTTAAAATGTACCAAGTCATACTCTGTCTACCTTTCAAGGCTTTTGTAATCTTCCATTTCCCTAGTTCAGCATTGTTTTAATAATTTCTAACAGACATCTTCTACTACAGGAATTTAGAATAGATGCCTTGTGGCCCCCATACATAAACCATATTCATCCTGAATATATCCTTTCAGTGCTGCTCTTTTCACTATGGAATGCTTTCATCCTCCTGCTGATCTAAATGATCCTACTCCTTTAAGATTTTCCTCTCCCAGAAAAACATCCCCCCAAACTCTAGCTTTTAGTACCTTGCTACTCTTATTATAATTACAGTTTATACCATAGAACACAGATTACATTATACTCTATAGTGTTACTGTGGTGCTCATAGGTTTTAGTATTTTTCTCAACTTGATGGTAAGTTTATTACAATTTATATTGTGGTAGAATCTGACACCCCAAAATATACCACTTTGGAATAAGAACTATTTTGAACTAAAAGCACTTGAAAAACAGCAGATACAAAAAGAGTCCTCTGACCTCTCCCTTCTTCCTGAAAGAAGGAGATAAAACTCTCATGTGAAACATGTCCTCCTCATATCAGTAAGAAAGAAACATTCTTATCACCAGACATAGGGAATGGAGGCTAAGAGGAATCTGTGCAAACAGATCTCATTAAAATAACTCATCTTTCCTTTAGCCTTCTCATATATTTTAGTTATGTTTATACATTTCCTTCTTTGTTCAACATAAAAGCATTTAAGTTTCACCATTTCTTTGTCATCATCTCCTTTTGAGGGTTCTCATGTCACATAAAACTTATATTAAAACAACCCATTTACAGTTGCACCAAAAGTTGCATTTACAGTTGCATCATCTCCTTTTGAGGGTTCTCATGTCACATAAAACTTATATTAAAACAACCCATTTACAGTTGCACCAAAAGGAATAAATCCCTAGGAATACATTTAACCAAGGAAGTTAAAGATCTACATTCTGAAAACTCTAGGACACTAATGAAAGAAACTGAAAAAGATATAGACAAATTAAAAGATATACCATGTTCATGGATCGGAAGAACAAATATCATTAAAATGTCCATTCTACCCAAGGCAATCTACAGATTCAATGCAATTTCTATCAAGATACTAATAGCATTTTCCACAGAACTAGAATCAATAATCCTAACATTTGTGTGGAACCACAACAGACTCTGAATAGCCAAAGCAAATCTTGAGAAAGAACAAAACTGGAGATATCACAATCCCAAATTTCAAGATTATACAGCTATAGTAATCAAAACAGTATGGTACTGGCACAAAAATAGACACATAGATCAATGGAACAGAATAGAGTCCAAAAATAAACACACCTATAATGGTCAGTTAATCTATGACAAAGGAGGCAAGAATATACAATGGGGAAAAGACAGTCTTTTTAATAAATGGTGTTGGGAAAATTGGATAGCTAAATGTAAAAGAATGAAATTGGACCATATTCTTATACCATACACAAAAATAAACTCAAAATGGATTGAAGACCTACATGTGAGATCATAAAGCTTCTAAAAGAAAAAACATAGGCAGTAATCTCTTGGATTAGCAACATGTTTATAAAAAGGTCTCCTCAGGCAAAGGAAACACTGAAATAAAAATGATTTTACATAGCAAAAAAAATCACCAAAAAACAGAAAGATAACTTAGTGAATGGAAGAAGAGATTTGCCAATGATATATCTTATAAGGGGGTAATATCCAAAATATAAAAAGAACTTATACTACTCAACACCAGAGAAAGGAAATAATCTGATTTAAAAATAGTCAAGAGCCCTAAATAGACATTTTTCCAAAGAAGACATACACATGGCCTACAGATACATGAAATGATGCTCAACATCACTAATCATCAGGGAAAAAAAAAATCAAAACCACAATGAGATATAGCCTCACACCAGTCAGAATGACTACTATCAAAATGCCAAGAATTATGAATGTTGATGAGGATGTGGTGAACAGGCAATCCTCAATCACTGTTAGTAGGAATATAAACTGGTGCAGCCACTGTGGAAAACATTATGGAGTTTCCTCAGAAAAATTAAAAACAGAAATACCATATGATCTAGTAATTTCACTACTGGGTATCTACCCTCCAAAACTGACACAACTCCAAAAAGATTTATGCACCTCCCTGTTTACAGCAGCAGTCTTTAAAATGGCCAAGATATGGAAGCAACCAATGTGCATTGATAGATGAATGGGTAAAGAAGATGTGAGTTGTGTGTGTGTGTCTGTGTCTCTGTTTGTATACATACACATATATGTATACGTATATATGGAATAGAATATTACTCAGCCATAACAAAGAATGAGATCTTGCATTTGTAACAACATAGGTGGATCTAGAGGATATCATGCTAAGTGAAAGAAATCAGACAGAGGAAGACAAGTATCGTATGATTTTACTTATATGTGGAATCTAAAAACAAAATAAAGGAACAAACAGACTCTTAAATATAGAGAACTGCTGTTGTCAGTTGGGAGGTGGGAAGGGAGATGATGGGTAAAATAGATGAAAGGGATTAAGAAATACAAACTTTCAGTTATAAAATAAATAAATCACAGAAATGAAAAGTAGAGCACAGGGAATATAGTCAGTAATAGAGCAGTAACATTGTATTCTGACAGATGGTAACTACACTTATTGTAGTGAGCACTAAGTAATATATGGACTTGTTCAATCAATATATTGTACATCTAAAAACAATATATTGTATGTCAATTATACTTCAATAATAAAACAAATGTGTATACTTTCATCTTGTTAATCTGTTTTATGTAAATTTAATTATAAATCCCAGCAGAAAACCCTAAGAAGGAGAGAGAAAACTCCCCTACAATGTCTTTTAAGTTTTACCCGTAGCATCTTAGGGATTAGCAGGAGCTTGTTAAGAAAATGAGTCCTAGGATATTGTTTTAGTCTCTTTGGTAATCCAAGAATACTTTTGCAATAATAATTGTATCCTCCAAGAACAAAGACAAAGTGACATTTTAAGATCAGGAACTTCTTTGAAAAGTCAAGACAATGAAATGTCAAAAGGTGGGGTGTCTGGGTGGCTCAGTTGGTTAAGCTTCTGTCTTTGGCTCAGGTCATGATCCAAGAGCCCCATGTCAGGCTCCCTCCTCAGCAGGGAGTCTGCTTCTCCCTCTCCCTTTGTCCCTTCCCCTGCTTGTGTGCACATACACTCTCTCCTTCCCACTCTCTCTCTCTCTTTAATAAATACACAAGATCTTTTTTTTTTAAAAAAAAAAAGAAATCTCTAAAGGTTTCGGAAGTCACATATTAGACCTGGACCTTGGAAGAGTAACTAAAATGTAAAAATATAATTCATTGATATTGAATAAAAAAGGAAGAAAAACTAAGAACACATAGCTTGGAAAGGCAGAAAGGCTCTGATGGCATTAATGACATTACTGAACTGCATACAGTTGAGCAATATAACCATCTGGTGTTACAAGCTGTAGCAGACACATTTGATTTCTTGGTTATTGTTATCCATACCCCCATGAGCCATTCTTACTCAAAGCTAAGGCAAGAATCTGTATGCTGACAACGGAGTAGACCTAGCCTGGTAGCTTAGAATCCCTGGTTGCTGCACCAGAGCTTCCCTAGGTTGACAAGTGTGGGAGAGTGACCGGCATTACCATTCCAAAGCATTTGCCATCAGCTGGGCTAAAGAACAAGGAATGGAAAGCAAAAACTCTGGAACATGAGAGCACATTATCAGGATATTAGACAGTTATGAGCCACTGGGAAATTAAGCATTCAGAAATAGCAAGGTCAGGAGTATCATTCCCCAGCTGAGGAAGCCCCTGAAAATATGTCTTTACCAACATGTAAGCATGACAGCTGTTAACATATTGTAATCCCCATGAAGATTAATAATAGCAAACTTTCATATAAGGTATCATTAATACAGGCTTTCATTTAATTATGTTTAAATTTTTAATGAGAAACTTACCTTGCAGAATTTGACTTCTGCTTCTAAATGATGAATGTATTGAGACTGGTCATTGATGATAGGAACAAGATTGTATACGGTAGGCATATTGGCTTCCTCACATTCTGATGACTTCTAAGGCAAAAAACAAAAACAAATTAAGCATGTTGGGATTTAGAAAAGAATCAGGTAATATCACCTCCATATTCAACTTAGTACTGATGCTATATAAATATAGACACACTGTGGCCAATAGTATTTCTTTGTCTGACAGTCACCCTGGACCAGGAGCCCAGCAAACAGACCTCAGAAAAAGTGTTAATCCTACACTTTGGCAGCATTCCTGCATTGATTTTATTTTTTTAAATATTTTATTTATTTATTCATGAGAGACACACACACACAGAGAGAGAAAGAGAGAGAGAGAGAGAGTCAGAGACACAGGCAGAGGGAGAAGCAGGCTCCATGCAGGGAGCCCAACGTGGGACTCAATCCCGGGTCTCCAGGATCAGGCCCTGGGCTGAAGGCGGCACTAAACCGCTGAGCCACCGAGGCTGCCCCTGGTAGGAATTTCTAACAACAAAGTACCAGCAAAACTCTCCTGAATTATTCTGCCATAAGAGCTGGTACTGTATATCCACATTTCAAAAATTTAAGTAATACTATGTGGATATATTTTTCATCTCAACAGTACCTCAATTACTGTCAATAGAGCCCACATATCTCTGGTATGTCATACTGGCTATGAAAGCACATCTAAGGGGCACCTGAGTCAGTTTAAGCATCTGACTCTCGGTCTCAGCTTAGGTCTTGATCTCAGGGTTGTGACATTGAGCTCTGTATCAACAGAGCATCAGGCTCTGTACCGAGTACAGAGTCTACTTCAGATTCTTTCCCCCATCCCTCTCTGCCCCACTCTGTTGCTCCCCTTCCCCTGTCACACTCACACACACCCTCTCTCTTTCTCAAATAAATAAAATCTTTTTTAAAAAGATGAAAGAAAGTGCATTTAAAGTGCTTCTAAACCTTCAAATGCCGGTTATTATCCTTACAGCTTGTTATCACACCACGTGAACTATATACATTCAGAGTCTAAGTTGCATCCTTCCAATAGCTCCATATAAACGGACCTGTGTATCTGTAAAGTGTATACTGCATATACTGAACAGATGATGCTCCTGGTGAGGCTCCTCCTGCTACCCTAAATTCAACCAGCCTGTACTATCACTGCCCTGTTACATCTTTAAAATGCTAAAGAGTACGTCTGAGCATTCAACAGATTCAGCAACCTCATCTACTCCACTTGAAAGTACTCCACCCACTGTGTGCTTAAGAGCACTCTAGAACCCAGGTGTCAACAGAAATACATTCACTGAATGGTGAAGTATATTAAAATTATAATTGATAGCCATAAATATTGAATAGGGGCCTGTAGTACTTTTCTCTAAAGTGGGAATTAAGCATGAAGGTTTGTGTCAGGCTGAAGTGTTAATATGGGATTAGGGCTATGACATTTCAGTTGTGAATTAAGGAAAGTGATGTGTCTCCACAGTTTCTAGAATGTAGCTTGGCTATCCAACTGTCACGCACACTGAAAATGTAAGTTAGTTATTGCTACTATGACATGTTAGATTTGTGTCAAGCTTCGTAAGCTTCTAAGAATTTGAAGTATATACTCTTAATATTACAGAAATGCTATGAGGTATAATATCCTTCTAGAAAGTACATAATAAGCCCTAGACAGACCTAGACTGTTATTTTGACCATTTAAACCTGGCCAAATCCTTCCCTCATACCTATCCTTCCCTCACATCTGTCTTAGGCTTTAGTGTATCACATTGCTTCAAGCAGGAATAATTCACTCTGTCAAAGCAATAGTAATAAAAAACAATTTCAGAAAAAAACAGAATACAGCTCCTCATTTCATACAATTTTAAAACCATGTATTTTAAGATGCAGAACAAGATTACATACTTTGGCTTTCACATTCAAAACAAACAAGAACAGCTAGAAATACAATTAAGTAAATTCTAAAAATGATAGGATATCAATATGGATAGGATATAGATAGGATACCAAAAAGAAATGGCTCTTCTTTTCCATATATTGTTCCTTGCAAAGTAATTTCTCCAATCTGTTTCCTCATTTATATTTTTCAAGTAAATGATAAATTTAAAACTCAGGATTCCCTTTGCCATGGAAGTCTCTCTTCTTCAGCCAAAATAATAATAATCAGAGGGGAGATCATTTCTTTTGATGCTTTATGCTATTAGAATGTCCTTCTCAGAATTTGTTGAGAACATGTACTAATAAAGCAACTTTGGAGAGTTAAAACATAGAGGGGCACCTGGGTGGCTCAACTGGGTAAGCATCTGACTGGATTTCAGCTCAGGTCATGATCTCACGGTTGTGAGATTGAGCCCCATGTCGGGCTCTATGTTGAGTGGGGAGGCTGCTTAAGATTCTCTCTCCTTCTCCCTTTGCCCCTCCCACCATTCATGCCCTCTATAAACAAACAAACAAATAAATTCTTTTAAATAAAAAAACAAAGAAAGACAATGCTCTTGTTAGGTTGCAAATGCTGATACGTACCAGAGCAGACACATTGTGTTTTCTTGATGGAGACACCTCACTTTCCTTACTTTTTTGTTGGTGCAACAAAGCTTTGAGTTGATTGACTGCAGAGCAAACACAAGGGATTTCGTCAGCCTTACTGCAGATCCATGGCTTCTCATCACCTATCCATGCTTCTAACCACCTAACAAATATATTTTAAACATGTTGTAGGCATCAACAACTGTGCAATGGACTGAGGATCCAAAGGCAAACATGAGAAAATCTCTACCACTTAAAAGCTAAGAATCCACCAAACAGGAGAGATCCACTGACAGATATAAGAAGTTCGCATGTAGATGTGCAGGTGTATATGGTGCTATCAGAAAAGGAAGCACCTAATCATGCCTGTTTTTATGGAGGAGTTAACATTGTAAGGAGAAACAGAAGATTACCAAGCAGAAAAGAGTAAGAAAAACCCCAGTCAGGAGGGATGGATGGCATATGCAGAAGCTTTTATAAAAGCAGGGCCAATAGGTTGATGTGACTAGAACATGGTTTACCAGATGGACAGTTGGGAGGAGGATAGGAATTCAAGGCTGGAGAGGTAGCTTGGAGCCATCTTGAGAAAATATTGCTAGGACATACAAAGGATTTTGGACTTCAGGGTAAGGCTTCATGAGTCAAAGAGAAAATATTAAGCAAGGGAATTCTATCAGCTGATTTGTGTGTTAGGAAGAAAATCCTACCTGCCGAGTAGAGGATGGCTTGGAGTCTTTACTGTTCAGAGTTCAATATATTCAATGTGTGTCATTCAGTCTAGGGCTGACCTCCACTCACACTCACCAGCATGGCTGTGCTGCAGTTCATACCAGGCAGTGCCAGGATCCTCATCTCCCACGCTGGTACTAAATGCGGGATCCAGTGCATCTTCTCCCACAGTGACATCACCTTCTTTCAGGGTATACTTCAGTTGGTGAATGCTTCTATTCTGACGTTCTGCAACCATAATGTGATGAAAATCAGGGCCTGTGAAGTCTGCACATCCACATAAACACTTATTCCAACAGGCAGTTTCTAAAGGAAAAGCAATTTTTTCTCATACTTTATGGGAAAAAAGCAGAATTTTGGTTCTAGCTCACTGAGGACTGTGCTAGAGGAAGAGAGAGATAGAGTTCATGGGTCAGAGGTGAGACCTGATGATCTCTAAGGTCCCCAACGTGCCAGAGGTAGATATTCACAATATATAGCTCTACTGCCAAGGAGGACAGAATATCCTCCCCACCTCACCCCCAGAAGGTGATCCCCTTCCCCTCCTTGCGACACAGAACCAGCAGGAGGGACTCCACTACACCAAGTTCCCACCCAGGGAAGCCTACTTCCCCTGTGAACCAGATATCTCTCCCCACTGAGAGACTGCCAACTGCTGGGCTAGTTCTGATTAAGGCTGGAAGAGCCAAATGAAGTGCTTACAGAGCTAGCCTCTGTAATGTAGTCCTTCCTGTGTCCTGTGGGCTCACTACATACTTTTAGAAATTCTTAGTTAGCACCCGTAGGATTGAAGCTTCAACTTACTAGCACATACTTAACATTGCAGCCTAAAATGAAGTATCTTAAGGTTTATTATAGTATAGTGGTTCACTTCTATAAATAGCCTCCCCCCCCAAAAAAAAAAACCCAGCTTCTCCCCTTGTCCCCTCCCAAGTTGAAACTAAGTCAGTAACTTGCACTCATGACAGAATGCAGAAGTTACAGTATGCCAGACCAGGCTTCGTTTGTTTTTTTAGACTGTTTTATTTAATTTTAAAGAGACAGAGAACACGTGCAAACTCATAAGCACCCGCTGTGCACACATGAAGGGGGGAAGGAAGTGGGGTAGCAGGGGAGGGAGAGGGACAAGCAGATGTCCTGCTGGTTGTGGAGCCCACTCAGGGATTAATCCCATGACCCTGAGATTGTGACCTGAGCTGAAACCAAGAGTAGGGAGCTTAACTGACTGAGCTACTCAGGAGGCCCCGGGCTTCATTTTTTAAAAGCTTCTGCTTCCTCCCTCCTGGAATGCTTGTTTTTATGATCCTTAAGCCACTAAGTAGGAAGCCTGCCTACCCTGCTGGAGAGATTGTGGAGGGCCATGTGGAAACAAGAGGCCCTGAGACTTCATGGGAAAGGAGAGAAGCCCAGCCCTGCTGACAGCCCAGTGGAGTTTTGAGAGGACTCGCCAGAAGCCATCTCACTGCAATGGCATGAAAGAAACCCGAAGAACTGCCCAGCTGAGTCCAGTCAACCCAAATGCCATTAGTTGTTGCTGTCAGCCATCAGGCTTTACAGTGGTTTGTTATGCAGCAACAGGGAACTGAAATAATTATTCAGTGAAATATCCAAAAACGTTTTCAGTAAAGGATCCAAATCTTAAATTAAAAACAGAACTAAACCAATGATACTAGTGATGGTACTACTAAGATTTCTACCTTACTTTACGGATATTTTTTACATGTCTAACAACTGGAGAATCAGGCAATTAACTGGTAATTTCATTAATTAAGGTCCACTTATTTTTTTTCCATTTAAACTTCTTGTTTCTGTTAGTCTCTCTCTCTCTCTTTTTTTTTTTTTTTCTGCTAGTCTCTTATGATTAAATTCACTGGCTCCAATCTAGAAAACATTATAACAAAAAGTTTTCCTTGTACGTTGGATCTGGGACCCAGATTTCAGTAACCCTGTTCGAATTTTGAGATCTATATTTGAAACTTATTTTTTAGCCCACTGATTAATTTACCAAACATACCCATATATCTAACATGGAAATTTATGTTAGAAAAGAATGAATTCCCATTCAAATTCATCTACATCTATTATCTATTTCCTTGAAGATTTTGTTTATTTATTTGAGAGAGAAAGAGCATGTGTGCACACTAAGTGGTTGGGGGAAAGGGTGCAGGGGGAGAGAGAGAAGCAGATTCTCCTGATAAGCAGGGAGCCTGACAAGGGCCTCAATCCCAGGACCCCAAGATCATGACTTGAGCCAAAGACAGATACTGAACTGACTAAGCTATCCAGACATCCTATTATCTATTTCAAATGGACTCCACGGAAACAATCCTTAAGATCCTCAAAGGGAGATGGTACTTTTCCTAAGAAGGAACAACTCATAACAATGATGACCAATGTCATTCTTGCTCTTCTTTGACAACTCAGGTCTATTTCTTCTTATGTCCTCAGGAGAAAAGCTCCTCATCTTTGCTACCTATTTGGGAACCCTAAGAAAGCTACAAAACAACCATCTTTTTTCATTACCATTCATGGATGAAAACATATTTACAAATATACATCAAGGTCTACAGGACCTTGAGAAATAGATTTTACTTTCTCCAAGCTCATTAATTTCAAAACTTTTTTTTTAAGATTTTTATTTATTTATTCATAGAGACACAGAGAGAGAAAGAGGCAGAGACACAGGCAGAGGAAGAAGCAGGCTGCATGCAGGGAGCCCGACATGGGACTCGATCCCAGGTCTCCAGGATCACAACCCTGGCTGAAGGTGGCGCTAAACTGCTGTGCCAAACTGCTGCGTCAACGAGGCTGCCCCAAGCTCATTAATTTCAAAGTTTAGAACAGAAAAAGTGTAACTCAGTAAAAAAATAAAATATAAAAAAAAATACTCCATGCTACAAAATATCTAACATAGGTTCTTCACTTACAGCAGCTCATTTTATTTCTTGATTAAACTAAAGAAAACAGGTCTTTCAGGTCAGGGTTCAACAATGACATTTTATTACTAACTACACAAGAGACCCACTGAATTTATTGCTATATTTTTCTCCACACACTAATCCTATTTCCACACAGACCTTTCTCTGACAGGCATTTGGTACTGAATACTAACCCCTTACTCATCATGAGTTTTGTTTTTGGGGGTGTTTTTTTTTTTTTCTTTTTTACTCATCATGAGTTTAAGAAAGACCCAGATAAGACACATTCCTGGTTTTAACAAAATAAAAAGGAGCAGTAGTTTTCCAATAACTTAGTATTTTCTAAAGAGATTTGTTAATGGAAAAGGAAAATCAAAGTGTTACATGATTAGCAATTTAGTTCACAGAGCTTTAGATTTACACACATAAATGTATGAATAAAGCACTTATCTTTATTGCGTCCATTAGGAAACAGAGGGTTTGACTAACGTTAAAAGTGTGCTCGATAGAGCTATGAAATGATTTCACTTCTAAGCAAAGGATAATCATTTATTTATACCTAATCTGACTAAAAGCTAATACGCTATATTAGGAAAAAGGGAGGAAATCTGGAAAAATGTTGCAGTTGAAAACGTCTATTGAGTACTTTTATCAGATTACAATGATGGCAGAGTTTCATGAGCCCATTTAACACCTTTTCCAATATTCTTCTTTACTCCTTTAGAATTTATGATATTCAAAGACTACGTGTTAAAATTACACTATGAAAACAGTTATTATGTGAAATAGTGAGCTACTGAAACAACCATCCCCAGGAAAAGTGATATCTAAGACATGGGGTTTGTTTGTTTGTTTGTTTATTTATTTATTTATTTATTTATTTATTTATTTATTTATTTATTTATTGTGATCCCTGACTTCAGTTACCAGGATCAGAGAGGAAGGGAAGGAATTTGCAAGAACTGTGTTCTAAAACTAAAACTAAGGAGGTCAAGTGATATTTTTAAGTCATTTCAATAGTACATTTCAAAACACACTAAATGCTCTTCAAGTATATACATAGCAACATAATTATACACTGTAACAAACAGTTAATCCTGAGGAATAATGCTTAGATGATTCAAAACAGAGGAAACTCTATTGCTCTTCAGCTGGAACCACTGCAACTGAAGGCCCCATAGTCATTTTATTTTATTTATTTTTTAAGATTTTATTTATTTATTCATGAGACACACACAGAGAGGCAGAGACAGAATCAGGCTCCGTGCAGGGAGTCTGATGTGGGACTCGATCCTGGTCTCCAGGATCATGCCCTGAGCTGAAGGCAGGAGCTAAACTGCTGAGCCACCCAGGGATCCCCCTTGTAGTCCTTTTAAAGAACACTACTCCCCACATGCAATTATCTGCTACAAACTAGATTACACAGGAGGTTCTAGTTATCATTTCCTATCCCACTGCAACTGGGCACAGCTTTATCTGTCCGTAACCAAGAGACGGAAAGAATACTCATTTCCTCTTCTCTCCAGAGAGGACAGTAAAAGTATTTCAGAATGTATCCTGATTTCTTCTCCCAGCATCAACCATGGCCTGGAAATAAACTTAATTATCAATATAATACAATACAAACACAAATAGGTCCTCTGAGTCCTGCAGCATCACAAGAACATAAAGGTAAGTAAATCATATTTCTGGTGGTCCGCTATCCAAACATCAATCAGTACAATAAGCACCGAAATCGTTAGCCAATTTCATTCTCTCTTAATCATTTTTGTAGTCCAGTTCCCCCCATTCTTTCTCCCAGCTTACCATCAGGCCTCACTTAACCAAGGTGTTTTTGAACAGAAGATAAGTATGTCCCAGTCTAGGAAGGATCATCATTTATATACACACGTGAATTATTCATGCCTACGTTCTCCATCTGCACATAGAGATGCGAATGAGAATTACCCTGGCGACAGGGTGAGGGAACCACACCCCAGGCAGCACCCAGCTATCTCTGAGAAACCAGGCCATGAACCATACCTCCCCGAGGCTGAGACACAAAATGCACTGCAGTTCTCAGACCAAGCTGGGGCCAGGGCAGACAAGCAGAAAAATGAAACCACAGCGAGATAAGAGATACATGTATCTGTCCACACTTGACCGGGCCTCAGCTAGTTCGGAAGATTGCTGTTGCTGTTTATTAGACTGCTAGGTAGGACAACCAAGATAAAAATGGCCTAATCCAAAGCCAGACAAAGCCAGCCTTGGAAATGGCAATGACAACTGTGAAAGGGATTAAAAGTAACATGTAGAAACTAAGAAAAATTT